CGGGGAGGGCTGCCCAGCTCCGGGGAGGGCTGCCCAGCTCCGGGGAGGGCTGCCCAGCTCCGGGGAGGGCTGCCCTTTGCTCTGCCCCTCGCCCCTGCTGCGAGCGCGCAGGGGAGCGCTTGTGCGCCGCACGCCTTGTGCCCTTTGGGATCACCGTGCTTCCCAGGCTGTGGTCGTCCTGAGATCCTTACGGGACAGCATCGTGTCATTCTGTAACCACGAGGGTTTGCGTGGCTTCAGAATGAGAAAAGAGATTTTCTGACTTAGATTAGGGAAGGAGAAGTTGACTGGCTCTCCCCCTCCCTTAAATTTCTTCCTGTGAAAGACCAAAACACCTCTTGCACTAATTGTAATTTGTTTTGCCCTTTTCACAGAATCCTTCGAGTTGTGGCTCCTCCTTTGGTTTTTCAGTATTTAATTTAATGAATGCAATCATGGGAAGTGGCATACTTGGCTTATCCTACGCTATGGCCAACACAGGGATCATGGGGTTTAGGTAAGTTTTCAGTTTTTACGTACACTTATTTTTAAACTCAGCTTGCAGTTGGAACAAAACTTGATTACTAAGACTCCTGTGCAAAAACTGAGGAAGAAATAAACAGCTTGTGCTTTTCAGCATTGTTGAGTAAGATCTTCCTTCTTTGGTTTTAGTCATTCAGATCTGGCCTAACATTAAGTACTGCCCAGAAATTGCATTAAATTGCCACATGGTGGCAGTTTCTTGGCCATTACTCCTAATAGATTGATATTTACATTTTAAAGCTGCTGTCTCCTTTAGTTCCAGACATGGGCCTTCTGGAATAGGGTGGCTACATATCTGAAAAATGTGAATCAGCTTGTGCTTTTGTTTGCGCTTCTCCTGGTTGTACATACTAACCTTTGGATAACGGGGCCAAAGTTGCCCAAATGTACACTTATACCATTTCTAAGCATTAGATTCACTTCATCAGAAGATACATATTTGTCTGGGTATAGGCACTCTAGTATTTATGTCCTCTTTGTAATTCACATATCGGGTCTTTACCCTGTATAGTATGTGATATGCTTTGGTGGACGATACAAGAAGTGGCGGAACTTAGCTAGTATTGGGAAGGTCAGAGACCGTGTGAACCATAGGCAGCAGATGTAAGCCATAAAATGAGGAAATCTTGTCTTGTGGTAGCTTACTTCTTGCAAAAGTAGCATTCTTGAAGATAGAAAGTGCACTGTACTCTAAAAGTGCTTTCATTGCAAATATTTTATGTTTTTTAGTATCTTGTTGCTGATTGTTGCCAGCCTTGCTTCTTACTCTGTATTTCTTCTGCTCAGTATGTGCACTCAGACTGGTAAGTGAAAAGGATTTATCTAACCGTGATATCTGAAGTACTTCCTCACCTATATCACAAAGACACGACCCAGTATAATTATTATAACTAACAGCATGTTAACAGATAGCTGTGTCTGATTCAGTGATGTTGAAATATTTAGCATTTTTGATGATTTCTCTTTCCCATTTAAAAATACAGTTTCAAGACTTATGAAAAGTTAATGCCCAACTGACTGGTTTCTAGATTTTCAGTTTTAATTCTTTCAAAATGCGTCTCTCATCTTTTCAACTTTCCAAAAACATAGATCCTGTGTTTCTGTAGCAAAATTATTTTGGTGCTGGCTGGACCGTGCTACTTCAGTGTGTACTGTTGCTTTTGGTAGACTTTCAGTCTTCTACTGGTAATACCTGTTTTGTTTACGGTGTGAAATGGATGCCGTTCAAGTTTTGTAATTATACTGGATTATCATAATTCTCACGGCACTTTATAGATGCAGGTATTTACAGTATTTTTGATAACGAGAAGTCACGTTGCAGTCCTTAGAAATTACACTGCTCTGAGAATGTTCAAACAGTAGATTCTAATATCTGCAATCTGTTGGGCTAATGTTTTAATTCTTGCTGCTTTTAATTGTTGCTGAAACAACTGATGAGTTCCTTGAGTTCTGGTACACAAAGATAACATTATGGCAGGAAGTCTCCAACTCTTTCAGTCACCTGTTTCCCTCTCATCTGTTTTCCTCTCTTTTCAAAGGTGGTGGGAGAAAGCTTCCATTTCTTTCCTTATTGGCTTTGTTTTCTGTAGCTAGCTTTGGTCTCTCAGATGGTTGCTTCCTGATTCTCCTTAGATCTGCTGCTCCTGTCTTCACCTGTTGAGTGATCTTCTTCATACATTCTTAGAAAATACTCTTCTGAGGTAGGGTTACTTTTATGGTTAATATTGTTGGCTGCTTGATGATTTGGGACTAAGTCTTTGGTGATTTTTTTTTCTCTTCTTGGAGCTCTGCTTATTAGAAAGGACTCAGAAACTGAAATAGGTAGCTAGGAAGATACATAAGAAGAAAAAAAAAAAGGGAACTTGAGATAATTTTTTATGATCCTTGTTTACCTCTTATTTGAGGCTGAAAAGTTCTGTATTATACGGGCACTAGGTGGTATTATGTTGTTACCTGGTAAAAAAATAATTAAAGAGATCCTTGCAAAAAAACCTACTGGGGAGAGTGGAAAACTAAGGGTTTAAGCTTTTTGAAGGAAGAAATGTTTCCATGTTATGAACTTAGGGACCTAATACACAAGAATGTTTTAACTCCTCAGTTATTGTCCAAAGGCAACATCCCACCTCAAGAAAGCGCTTTTTAAACGCACACAACTGAAAGCAAGGAATACCACTGAAATGAAAGGATGAAGTATTTCTCATCTGAAACTAGCGCTTTATAGTGAATCGTTAGTTATCACGTAATGTTGACAGATAATACTAGCACCAGAACTATGTCTAGATAAGTTTGATGGATTTATGGCTTTCTGTGTTATGATTTTTTTTTTAAAAATGATATTTTTCTCATTATATTTACTACAACTCCTGCAAACTATTGAGTAATTTCATGTTAGGTAGCATTCCGAGGTTTTCCTTGGAACATTGTCTTTAAAATGTGAGAAATACGACCTGGTGTGCCTTGACAAAGTAAAATCTGTGTATGTGTTTGCTTCCAGACCTGATAATTGAACATTATTCTTCATAAAACCTACAGTGCATTTGTGAACACTGTTAATAGTATTGAGCTTAATCCGTGGCAAGGAATTGAAAAGAAATTTTATTAGTTTTATATCAAAAAATAAGCTAGAAAAATTAAAGGGTAGAGAAGAAAAATCTTTTGAAGTGTTTGTAAACCATTCAGGTATTCAAACCATAAAAGTAATCCTAGGAAAGAGCTGACCTATAAAACACCTTCTGAAAAGGAAGTTCTCGTATTAGTTCCATTTTAAACAGAGACCAGGATTTATTAAGCACAGGCATTTTAGTTGTATTTTTAAAAATAAAGAAGTGTCTTTTAATTTTTAAGTCACATGGGTCTAGGCTTTGACAAAATCAAATTATTTGTGTAGACCAAAAGGCTTAGCAAAAAAATACTGCCAAGTGTTGGATTTGGATTAGTTTAGGCAATGTTTTCTTCTGGTGTTAGTTAGTATGACCTGCGTTGTTTTGGGGTTTGGGCTGACAAAGGCGAAGTTTACTCTGTAAAGCAGAGGAATTGGGAATTAAATTGATACGTACTTTGAAGTTTCATGGTTTTTTTTCTTTTCATTTTGTGAGTTAGTCGTGAGTATTGCTCGTACTATACTTGCCAATCTCACTTTGTGTTTAAATGGATAATTTTCATTTAGTGTTAATAACATAATAGAAATCAAGCCAACTGGGCAGAATTTGTTTATCTTTCTATCAATTGCACTTTTAGTTCCATATATTCTTGAAATGACAAAAGTAATATGACTAAGTATTAGGGCTTCCCAGTGTTCACAGGACTAAATTCATTACAGAAACAGAGTTACTATAGAAAATAGTCTAAAGTTTCAAATCGCTGTTTTGGAACTGTTTGGAAAATTTTTTTCTTTGTTGGTAACTCCTCATGCGCATGTGCTGTGTATTTGTTCCCATGTGGTAAAAACAAATCTCTCCTGAATATGTTTAATGTTTTACTGGTATTTCTTTTAATGCCATTGGAGGTGGCCTTCTAAAATGCTATTTGTTTTTTCTTGTGATCAACAACTTCTTATAAATAGAAATCTAAGAAAAATACAGAGTAAAATAATCTAGTAAGACATACTTCTTGTTTAATTATATCTGTATATAACCTGTATCAGTGTAGTGGCAGATGTAAGAGGTTTATGCTGAGAGCTGACTGGCTCATTTAATTTTGTCATTTCATTTATTTTGTCATAGCATATTGGTATCAGAGCAGAATATGAAACATTGCCCTTGAGAAAATCATATGAGAAAATTAATGACGTTTTGGGGGGGTTTTTGGTTCCCCGCTCCCCACCTCCCCCTCTCTGGAGCATTGATCTGATTGTGTGCAGAACTTCGGTGAAATAAAAGCACCTAAGCTTGGGCAGCTGGCAGTCTGAGGCTCCAGTCCCGCCATCAGATCTCTGTGAACCGCCTCTGCCTGCCATGTCTTGTTTCATTTACTTCAGGGGGACTTCACTCAGGTGTGAAGGTCTGCCCCCAGCAGCTCACATTGCAGGGCTGGGCCCTAAATTAAGATATGACAGAAGTAGAAGCAGTAATGTACCAAATAGAACCAAAGAAGAGAAAGCAAGCGTTGTGACAATAAAATTCTGTGGGTTTGAGATTAATTTTACCCTTTGAGGCATTTACAACTGCGGACCGTTTTATTATATACCAAGAACGTGAGTGGTATTTCTCAGAAAACTTTCATCTTTTTGATATCGCTTGAATTTCTAATAACAAAATACAGAGCAACAATGAAAGACTTTAATATGACTTCCTTCTTTCTGAGAAGGGATTGGTTTGAGTTACCAGCAATATTAGAAGTGAGCTTCAGCTAAAACTCAGCAAAAGCATACAGGAAACCACAGGATATTTTATTGTGATTATGTAAGTCAGGTGCAGGTAAGGGCAAGATTTGTGTTTTGTTTTTGGTTTTGCTTTGGTGTGTTTTGTTTTGGTGTTTTTAATAATTGGTTTTAACCAAGGAATGTATTTACCTTCAGCTCTCTTGAAAATAAATAGTGCCGAGTTTTTAAAAGCTGGCAAGATGGTGATTGCTGTTTATATTCATATGAAGATGAAAATGGATGTTCTGTTGTTGTCTTCATTTAAAAAAAAAAAAGCATACCCTTTTATCAAACAAAACGTGGTAGTATCTTATATCTAATTGCTGAGGCTAATTTCAAAATTCCTCATCTGTAGTATCACTTGCAGAAATCTTTGGGAGAAGGCAATTTGCCATTAATGTATTATTATTATTTTTAAAATGCTATTATTTTCAGTATTAAATTGAGTTTCTGGAGAGTATCTGAATGGTTGAGCATATAGCTGTATTTTGTAGCAGGAGTATAGGTGTATATAAAAGCTATTTTGTAAATAAAAAATACTGTAAAATACTCTTTTTAATTTTGCCCTGAATTATGTTCATTTAGAAAGGGAAAAAAGGCCAAGCTAGAGCTTTCAAGTGATTTTGAAGTTAGCTTTTTTTTTTCCTTACTAACAGCTGTCACTTCTTATGAAGACCTTGGCCTGTTTGCATTTGGATCAACTGGAAAGGTATTTATTTTTACCTGTGTATACTTCTTAGGCTTCTGATGTACAACTGTTCTTTGTATAGTAGAGAGATATAAATGAAACAAGTAGCATAATTACTGACGTCCTAGTATACTGAAAAATCTGTTACATCCTGGAGCTCTTTGCTACGTTTCAGTTAGTGTGTCTGGAAGCCCAAACTTTAGTTAACTGTAAAACAGACATTCCATAACTACAAAATTTTGTGCTACTTTCCTGTTCATTTTTTAGTTGTACGTACAAAATTTGCTCACTGGCATTGTTGTCAAGCTGGCTCAGCAGTGCGTTTCAGGTTTGTTACAGTCCCATCCTGCCTCTCCTGTAAACTGTTAGGAGACGGGCAAGCAATTTACTGTTGGTGTTCTAGCATTTAATAGAGATCGAAGGTAAGTGTTTGCCTTTCATGTCGTTTCCACAATAGGAACAAGTAAGAGTATGTTTAATGCATGTTAATTTTTTTTTTTTTTTGTTTAATAAACTCTTCAGAATTAATGTTTCTTGCTTGTTTTATCTCATGATTAAAAAAAACCCCAAAAAACCCACCAGCAAACTTAACCATTTTTGGTGTAAAAGTAATCAACATATAAGCCATGCCTCTTTAGTAGCGTGTACTGAATCTGTTTTTCCTAATAGACAAGGTTGTCCATTAATACTGGGTGCACAGGAAATACTACTTGTGAATACTGCACATTTAATATTATGACTTTTATGCTCTGTGTTTCAGTTACACGATACTAAAAGCAGATTTTACCACATGGAAGTGCAATTTTAATGGTTTACTGAAACAATGTACATTTTCTTTAAAATTAGTTGTGCTTAACAGACTACAGTCTAATTTCTTCTGTTTTAATGTAACTGAGAATTAAATCTGAGCTATTAGGTGTTTGTAAGGCTTCCATTAGCAGTAATAAGCAGATGTGAGTGTAGTCTGTGAGGATCAATATGTATCGATCAAAGTTAAGATGTGATCAACCTCAGGAGATAATAAACCTTGACATTATCAAGGTATGAAATAGAATTATTTTTTACAGGAGCTGTTCTGTACACATTAACCACAAGCCATTAGGTGCAGAAGTCATAAAAACGTAGAGCTTAAGGAGATAGTAAAAAGTGACTTAGTCTGCCTTTGCTCTGAATCAGGGCTTCAGAAATGTATAAATACAGAAACAAATACAGAAACCGTTCTTGGCAGATGTTTGTCTATTTTGTTATTGAAAGGCTTAAATGAAGGAGATTTCACAGCTTTGCTATGGAGTCAACATCAGTAATTTTTTTATTCTCTCTAATGTACTTTTTCATAATTTTCATTTTAAATAATTTGTGATTGAAATCATCTGGTCTTTTATTTTCAGCGTGCATGGAGAGCACTGGAATATTTCTAGGTTTAGAAGCTATTGTTTTGATAAAATAATTAACCAAAGTTCACCAAGCTTTCCTGATGAACTGACTTTTTCTGGAACACTTAACTTTCTCTCTTGAAGTACCTTTAGTATTTATACACCTTTCTTCAAAACTTGCCTGCAAAATGGAACACAGTAAGCTGGCTGAGAACTTGACAGTGACGAGAAATGTAATTATTACCTATATTTTAGATAGAACAGGCCAGTACTACATCACAAAACAAGATCTGCTGTTTCTGTGGGTGCTTCATCCTACTGATCGTATTATCTCAGGCTATTTTCTGTATTTGCAATCTAATAATTCTAACTCAAATATTTGTGATCTACTTCCTGAATGCATTGCTTTTAACTCATCTTGCTGATTTTCAGACTTTCCTAGTTTACCACGACCATTCTGAATTCTAATCCTGTCCCTGAACGCTCCTCACTTCAGTCTGGCACAGGTGGCTTTTTTTCTTTTCTTTTTTTCTTTAAAGTAGTAGTTACTCTTCCCTCACCCGAGTCGTTTGCTAATGGTACAGACAGACTGCTGTAGGACCTTGCTTGAACTGGCGTCTTAGGTTGGCAGTGAACTACTGGTTAACTGCTCTTGAAGCAGAGCAGTTATTCAACCTTACGATGATCTCCTGTTGAATATATTTTTCTGAGATTTGTGAGAATGGAGATTTTCTGCTATTGGAAGATTGTTGATTTTTCCCTTTCCAAAGGCATGAAGTATTTGTTTCCATCTATGGCAAATTCCAAGATACCATACTTTTTTTTTTCTTTTTTTTTTCTTCCCCAGTGACTTTTTTACTGACTTTGAATTCATTTAAAATCTGGTGTGATTTTTCTAGCTGATCAATTGAAAAAATGGCACCTCTGCTTTCAGATTTTATTCAGAAGTACAAATTTGTTTTTCTTCTAACTGTGGCTTAATTTTTTCCAAGTTGACTTAATGGTAGCACTCATGTAGGAAGGTCCTGCTACATCAAGAAGAGCAGTGGGTAAAAAGAAAAGCCGTACTAGATGATCATACTATTTTAGAATGGAATTAAAAAGAAAACATTGGGAAAACTTTAGATACGTCCAGTTTTTTTTCAGTGGAAGTTAGTTCTGTGGATTCAGACAAATATTTTAATAGCCTGTGATCATTTCTACTTCCATATCAGTCCAGTATGAATAATCACAAATCCTAAAGAAAAGTCTATCTAGTTTACAAATTTAAAAGAGTAATTACATTCATGATAGTTAAAAATATTCAGGTTTTTGGAGTGAGGAAGTAGCTTGTACAAATGTTTGCTGTCTTGATTGTCTTTTCAGAGATGAATGATCGTTTTCATTTGTACTCACCTGATGTCAACTAGGATGCGCTTACGTGTTTTCAGTGATTTTAAAAACCTCATCTTCTGCAGAGGAGGCTTCACTCTATAACTTCTCTTGTGGTGTCATCTCAGAATGAAAATGCAGTATTTTCAGGGAGATTTTCTGCTTTTATATTAATTTTAGATTGCATTGGTTTCCATGTGTTAAACTCTTCGGTAAAGAGAAGATGCCCTTCCTTTCAGTACTAGTTATCGCTTCTACATCTGGTCCGTTTAAGATAATACATATGTGTTTTATGACTGCTGTAGGCATACGATTTTAGTTATCCTTACCCTTTCTAAAGAAATCAATTTTTTTTTTATAGGTCCTTGTTGCAACTACAATAATTATCCAGAATATTGGAGGTAAGAAACTTCATATGCTCAATATTAACTGAGTGGAGTATAACCTCTACAGTCTACAAACCTCCACAAATACGAAAGGCAATAAGTAAATGAAAGTGTTCTTAAGAGACTGGTTAAAAGAACAGAAAACTTGAAGAGAAGGCTTATGTGATCACACTAAGCAGAAGTGCTGTAGTCATGGGGTAGATGGGGGGGGGCTTACGGGGGTTAGACTGTATGCCTGATCATCATTGCAGGATGTGGAGCACGTCCGTTATAGCTGGCGTTACTAATTGGAAGGGGCTGTTCCGTGCATTTGCATCTGGTAGCTACATTTTCTTGTATCATGTGTTTTGGTTTTTGCTGTTGGAACTTGCTTAGGCATTTTAGTTATTTGTGTAACAACTGAATGTTTACTTAGCCATGAAGTTTCGTATGTACTTTATTAATGGTAGCTTTTTTTTTTTTTTGCTAGATCAATACCTTGTGGTTTGGGGGAGTGGTTTTGTTTGCTGACTTTCATCATGTGAGCTGATAATCTATGTTGTCATATGCTAGGCTGTCCAGTGGTGACATTCTTATTTTGTCTTCCTTGGTGCATGACATTAAGATAGCTGTCTTTGTATTAAAATAATCACCTAAGCATTTAAACTCTTATTCAGGTATGTTCACATACTTGACAGTTACTAAGTAGCAGTGTCCTTAGAAATTAATTGTCTGAAAGTAGACAGTGTTCAACAGAACAATTTTAAATTTTTTTTGCCGTAAACGTTTTGGATACTTTGAGGGAATTATGTGAAAACTCCCTCCTTTCAGTCCCCTACCCCTAAGAAGATACTCGCATTCACATACATTGACAGAAGGGAACAGCATTCCAGCGCTGCTGTTCTTTCCTTTAGGATTACCTGTCAAGTCCAGACAATTCAGTGATTGCTGTTTTTTGTCGCTATTTAGAGACTTAGAACTAGAGCAAGTCACTGCTTTTATGATAAAATTGGAATCTTTTCTTATACTAAAAGCTCCAATAATAAAAACTGCCTAATTGAAATGGCTCTAAAACCCCAAGCATTAATTTCAGGCAGGAGTGAGTGTGTTAATTCCAAGATTAAGGATTATTTATTACTACAGGTTTTAGAGGACGTTCTGTAGCAATGAACAAATTTTTTAATTTCCTTTCCTGTTTGAGTGGACCTCTAAATAAACAGTACTGAAGAAGGAGGGATACACAGTACAGATTCTGGAGACACTGGGATCGCGTACAATACTCTGTGGTCAAAGCAAATATGACTCTCATTTTTTCCTCATAACAGTTCATAACCTTCTCTGTGTCATTTTTAATAAAACTCATCTCAGTAACTCTAGAGCCCCAAACTATTGCATGCTGGATATTATCAAACTACTTATTCTGTCTTCTGCAGTGGCCTTCTCTGCCAGCAAGTTGGGCCTTGTTTGCCAACCAGTGGTTTTCTGTTTAACTAGTTAAAAAGTAGGTTTTTGAAAGAAGAGTTTCAATGTGCAAGTATTTTTAGTGACCTCATTTTGATGGAAGCTTTCAAAACGCTGTTTTGGTTCTTCTGGTTCCAAGGGCAATATATTTCATGTAGGAGAACAGTAGTAGTTCTTGCATCTGGCATGTTCCTTTGCAAAGATCACTTGGTTTCAAACGCACTGCAAAGAGAAAGCTGACTTTTCGTCTCGGAATCGGTTAGTGTTAGTAGTGCCCAAACACGCTGCAGTCTGTGAGGAAGGGTGATCTGTGAAAACATGGGTTGCAAGCTGGGCCTCCTTGGCACCTTCTCCCATATAGATGTATTGCGCTGTCATTGCAAGGAGCTATCGCAGCTTCTGTTTAGTATTTAGATTTCTGTTTGGGAACAGAGCTCCCAGCCGCGTTATTTCGCTCCTTAACAACTGCCGTTGTCAGCAGAGCAGCACCGTGTCAGAAATTGTCTTTGAAGATGACTATGCTGCAGGCTAACAGGCTCTTAAAAATAAGAGGGATGAAGAGCTCTCTTCACCTCTCACTGAGCCCTGACTCTTGAAGAAATGCATAGAAAGGAAACCTTCTTGTCTTTCTGGTCCATCTACAGATTTTAAATGGGAGTGATGAAACTGTGTGGTGTGGTTTGTTCTGAACGGGAGCCATGCTGGAATTAAGTGTAAAACTTACCCTTTCCCTTTAGTGCACTGTGGTAGGTGTTCCCCTCTTTTTGTTTTTCTTTTTGTCTGTTTGAAGGAATCGGCAGTGCTGTGCCTGTTGGGCAGACATCCAAACTCCGCCAACATCTTTAATTTCAGAGTAAGGCTAAAAATAAAATTGTTTTCTGTTACCTCCTCCACCATCAGACCCGGGTACGTTGCATCATACAGTATCTTATTTCAAAAGTGATTGGAGAGCATGAGATAATGAATGATGGTTTGTGATTAAAATAAGCAACTTTACTAGGGTTATTGTCACTATCAGCATCTAGTCTGGGCTTTTTTAAAGTTTGGTTGATCAGTTCTAAAGTGCAGAAGTGATTTACAGTCATTTGTGGTTGAGAGCGCTTTTTAGTAAACATTTTATTAAAGTTATGCTTTCTAATTTGTCATCTTTGCTTTTTTAAAAAGAAAGCTTAAGGTGCATATTTGATTTTGACGTCTTAATTGCATACACTTATGGATTTGTGTAGATAGGGGAGTTGATTTTTCTACTAGCAGGATACCCAAAGGAAAAAAAGATTTTTTTTTTTTGAACAGTTACAGGAAAGCACTGGTTGGTCAAATTTGGAATTTAAAAGGTTACAAAAAAATGCATTTCAAGTACATTTCCTGGAGTTTTAACACATAACTCTAACGTGAGCGCTCAACTTTCCTGCAGATTTTTAATCGTCTCTTGGAACACTTCATGTTACGTTAATCCAAGTAACGCAAACCAAATACCAAAATCCATTTAAGTACCAAGGATTAACTAAGGATGCATCAGGAGAATGCGTTAACTTTGCAATATCTAAATGTAAATTAAGGTAATCTTAAACACAGTGACTTAAAGTCTTTATACAACATAACAAATTCTTAGCTTAGAGTGGTAAACTTTGAAGAGTGATTAAACTTTGAGAATATTTGCTTAGCTTTCCTTATATCAATATGTACTTGGTCTTGCAATGTAGGTATTTGTTAATGAAGTGAAACCAAAAGGTTGAATGGGATGGCCAGAGCTACTCATTTTTACATTGTTCTATTTGTCAGTATTTTGGCCCAATCCAGCAACCCTTTAATCTAAGTAACTAGTGATTAGTTACATGGGAACTGCCTTGTTCTTGAGAGAGCCAGTTATCGTGTCTGTGGGGTTGCAAAGTGGAGGCTAGAAAGGAAACTATCAAATTGCATGCTAGCAGGCTGCTGCTTTGTGCATCCATTCCTTCCAACCTTTTCCTTTCACCCCGCATCTTCAAGTGGAGTGATCTTCCAGATGTCCATTTCTTGCCTTGAAGTATTTCAGACCTTGTCAGGTGCCCTCTAAGATGGGAGAGGGTCCTTGGGGAAGCTGTATGCCGGGAGGTATAGAAGGAGCGAGGGAGGCAGCTATGGAAAACACCAAGTTACACAGCCCGGCTGGCTCTTTATGTGATCCTTCCCAGGAGCGACTGGAGTTGGACGGAGTCCCCGCTATTGTTTCAATAGCGTTGTGCTTCTAGGAAGTGATGGATGAGGCACAATGGGCCAAAGCCGTGGCTCGGCATCACGCAGCCCTTCCCCCTCTCCTGCCCGGGAACTTCTGTGAGCTTCCTAGATGCTTTCTGAAGAGGGGAAGGAAGGCGGGAATTTATCCTCCTGGAATTGTCCCCTCTGCGGATGTGACTGAAAAGGAGGACAGTCCGCAGCTGCGAGTCTGAGAGAAAATTGGTAGGAATCTTAAAGCACATGTAACGAAGTTGGAGAAGGAATTATTTTAGCAAGGCTGGTGGAAAAATGGAGACAAACACAATAAAGTATTGCACAAGAACAGCTCTCAGCCTGTTGCCAACACTAACAAGTCTTCAGCATTGAGGTCTAGCAGGAAGTATGCGGAGAGTTTTACGGCATGCTTCTCTGGGCTGCGGGCTGGTACCAGCTGAAGGTCACTGCTGTAGGGAGATACGACTGGTGCTAGCGGGCCTGGTAGCCGTGATACACAGAAACATAAATTGAAACTGCTGAGAACATGAGTTTAATTATTTAAAATTTATTAGCAGTGGGATTAAGTGCAACAGGAGAACCTGCAGTACAGCCATGTAGCATAGGTGGTCTGTATGAAGATTTTTTTGCAGCAGATTTTTCTTACTTTTTCAGTTTCTTTTGATAGGCTGAGATACACGGGGTGTGTGTGGGGGGAATTCTTGTGCTGAGGATCGGTATGAGTACTGGCCTGTCTTGGCTTGTGCCCAAACGATCACGGCAGCCGCTCTTTGGAACTAAGCTTTCCGGACAGCTCTTAATTTTACAAAGAATTACTTGCTTTCTAGTATGCATACAATTTAATTAAGTGTAATTTCTGTAACTGGTGCGTGCGTATTTTGTTTCAATATTCTGCTATTAACATGTCCTCAAAAGTACACGTTTTTCTTCTTTGCAAGAATAAGTAATGAGGAAAAAAGATGTTCCATGGATTTATCTGCGGCTCTGCCTGAATGCTGTCGGCAGCAAATGGAAGTTACAGGATTAGTTCTGATGGGAGATTGAGTTCTCTCCTCAGTCAATGTGACGGACGATATGCAGAAACCCTCTATGAATGTCATACGTGCTAAATATATATTTACATGGGGACAGTTCATATTTTTCAAGCTTCCCGAAGTAAATCAAGAGGCGTAACCGCTGGAAAAAGCAGATGTTTAAGCACCGGTGAGTGTGTGTGACCGATGAGGCCGGCCGGCAGCTGCCCGGGGCAGGCGGTGGCCAGCGGCGGCGGGTGATGGCTAGCGGAGCAGCGGTGGGCTCGCACCACCAGTGTTTGTATGCATGTTCTCTGTGTGTCAGTACTTACAAATGCTGTGCATGTATTA